TTTTAATATTAAATAATTTCGATGTGATATTTTTTTCGATGACAATTTCCCCCTTCGAAGTCACCGGAACGTTAGAAAAAATATACTCTAGTTTAAACAATTACATAAATATGAGAAAAATGCTAAAATTAGAACGTTATTCTCTTAATTTCTATTTATTACAAATAATATTCTTATTACACACATGCGCAACTTTTGGAAAATCATATAAACAACATTTAATAAAAAAAACTTTCATAGAGAACAACGGAGCCAGTCTAACGGTGGATTTCAAACAAGAAGGTACATCGAAAAGTAAATCCATGTTTTTAGATTACAATGTACATTTCTTTTCGATTAATTAATAATTATTTAGGGTATATATCGATCGATTGTGGGTTCTATCTCTATCTCTCTCTTTTTCTCTCTCTTTTTCTACCTCTTTTTCTACCTCTGTTCTGTATCTTTTTTTATGTAATTTCATAAAATTTTATAATTACTGTTGCCTGTCTAAAATTGTAACTCGCAAGAACTATCAAAGTTATTGATTTTTTTGTTTGATCGCATTGAATATCCTATGAAATGAGTTGTTCGTCGATACCAGAAAGAACGGTTAACGTTTTGCGGTCGATCGACGCATCGAGGTTACGACGATGCATCGGATACATTACTATCTTGCAGAAGATACTAGACATAACTTTAAAAGTTTCTTTTTTATTGCCAGATGCACGCACTCTTATAAAACCAAGCAAAGATGTATATGCAAATTATGCAACCTGTCCTTGAAATCATTCTAATTAGCTAAGACTACTGGCTCTTGCGAAATAAAAAGAAAGATAAAACTAAATATGCATCTATATACTACATTCGAGATATTCGAAAATATCAGTGTTTCGTGAAAAATTGTAAGAAGAAGGAATTGTAGAAAAGTTACTCACGTACACGTTCTCGAAGTCTTTCTTTTCCTATCGTCGAACGTACCAATGTAAGAAAAGTTAAAGATTAAACAAAAGTGGCACGCCCATGAAACCAATTCGAAAGTGTTCCATTTTTTCGGGATATTTCTGCCAGATTATAGAAATAAAAAAGGTAAAAACAAAGAGAATGAAATCGATCATTCCAAAAAAATGTTGCGTCCACCAAAAATCAAAATTCAAATAAAATATTTATTACAGAATAAGATAAGAGAACCCCACGTATCTTTATTTTGAAAGAAATAAGTTTTTTCTAATTAGTAAAGAAAAAGAAAAAAATATTAACGAACATAACGGAGTTTGAAAATAGTAACTACAATTGATCATTCTCTTGGACGGTCTTACAAAGTTACATATCCATCCGTAGAACGGATTAACGGTACGATATTTAACTGACGTCAGTTCTTTTTACTCGCGGTTCCTCAGCTTCAAGCATACTCGTTCAAAGCGGGGACCACAGCATAGGCTTGTTTTTACGACCTTTAACTCTTCCACGTATGCAAGTTACAAGTTATATGTGTGTGTGTGTGCGCGCGCGTAGAATCGAACTCAGTAATGCGAGTACGAAGCGCATCGAGGCAAATTCGCTTAATTAAAGACGGACATCCGAATTGCCAGGGCGATTAATTAAAGTCGATGTCAACCTTTGGAGCCTTTCGAATCCTCTCCAAATACTCGTCAAGCGCTAATACCGATCGACAAACGGAAACTCGACTAAAAGTTCACTTCGTTCATATGTCACCGAATACGCCATTTAAAATAACCAATTAAACAAACACTGCGTTCTCGCCGAAGGATGATTAGAAGTAGAAAAGATAAAAATGTGAATTTAAAAAATAAATCAACGGTAAAAGAGGGGATAGGGAGGAGAAGGGGGACGTTAAGTCAGCGTTTCTCAACCTATGGGCCACGAAATGATTCTGCTGTTACCTTATTTTAAAAAATGCTTAATTTGTACAAAAAATCTCCAAAACAATCGTTGTTGCAAGTAATATATTTAAATACATACAGGTAAATTTGAGCTATAATATATTTGATCGGCCGGCAGATAGGTTGAGAATCTCTGCATTAAATGATGAAAGATAGTAAAATTGATATCTCTCGTTCTCTCGATGATATCATGATTACCGTCATAGCGTCGATGCTCTCGAAGGCGATTCACTTCCGAATAGAACAGACTACCGCGGAGTAAATAATTTATTCAAATATTCCAAAGACGTTCACACCCATGGCGCTCGTCGGTGACGTAACTGTAAACACGAGACCCGGAGAGAATTGATTAAACTCGTTCAAACGAACGAAAACGGGGGATGTACGAAAGGAAGACACCGATTCTTCTTAACGCTCTCAACAAAATGAAGACATGAAAGAGAGGTCAACGGTACCGAAGAAGCCAGAGTGGGTGCGAGTGGGCGATAATCTAAGAAAATCTCCTCATTTGTCAAAAGTCAGTTCGATCGTTTAGTTCAAGCCGCGCTGGTGACCTTAACGTTTTACTGTCACTTAATGCAAGCACGCTTTTGACAGTGACTCATTGTCAGATCCGAATCCCCAGCATAATGACGAAATCGATCGTAGACGACGAGTGAAGAGAGAAACGCTAACTATGAGAGGTAAAAGCTATCTATAGATACCAAAAAGAAAAAAAGAACAAAAGAGACAGTTACACGTAGCGAGCATCGTTGAAACGGTCAAAGACGGTAACTAATAATGCCACCGGTTGTATTTCTACATCCGTCGACGATCGTCCCATTTGAAATTCTACTTGCCTATGTTGCAACGTAGGAACGTAAGCATCGTTAAAGAAAATTTGTAGAAAACATTTTGATTATTTCGATATAGAGTTACGAAAACATAGATAACGTACGATTTGAATAAATTGTGAGTCGAGGGAGTTGTCGCACGGAAGGAGGAGGAGGAGGAAGAAGAAGAGAGAAAGCCTCTTTTTCTCGAAAATGATGCAAGTGTCTTGCATAGACGCTGATTAAAGAGCTGTATAAAAGTCCTTCCCTTGCAGTTGGCTCCTCTTGAAAGAAGGGAAGAGAAAGAGAATAGGGAGAATCGATCAACGACCGGACGCGGATGACTGAAAGCGCGAGTTTACGAGTTCACGCATCGACGAGTAAAAGCGACCTGCTTGCTTGCTTGCCTCGACAGAGAGATATCCGATGGGAAGAACTGCGAGAATTGGGTCAACGGTTGGCGAGCAACGACAACGGTTCTCGGTCCATGTCTTGACAGGTGAACAAAGCGAACGAGGGAGAGGGATGGAACAACATATTCAATATCTCTCCAATGGAGTATCAAGAGGAAGCACTTATTTACTTCCTCGCCGGCTTTAATCTACCAATCGTAAATGCGTTTTAATTGGCATTTAAGATGATGCTGGAGAAAAACCCTGACGCAATTTCATTTGGAAGGTAGAAATGGAGAAAGAGAGAGGGGCAAAGAGACACGTTCGCCCGGTGGAATCGATGCCAAGGAACGAGGCGAATCACAACCAAGCAAAATAATCTTTCGCAGAATAACATTCTTTCGCGATGACCGTTTCACACCTACGCAATATTTTGCATTTTCAATACGTAAGGATGATTAAAAGTATTGAAATAAACGATAAATCCGATCAAATGAAAAAGAAAGAGAGAGATAGGGAACTCCCATCATTGCCGCACGCCATTTTTATGTCGACGATCTGGCCGTCTCGCGATAACCGATAGACAATTTTTAATCGATTTTAACTTTTTTGAAATGAAACTCTTTGATTAGTTGCACTTACCCTTACGAAGGGACACCCTGCTACACTGTTCGATCCCACAACTCGCATAAAATCCCGCCCAAGTACACCAAATAAACCACCGACGACAAGTCCGTCCGCACACTCGACCGGCGCGCAACCGACTGACCGCGCACGGCGTCGACCTACGCCGTCGACAACTAGTCCCGTTCACCGACTTCGTTGATCCGTTTAACTACGAAAATGTCTTGCTCTACCTTATCAAGATTCATTTTGCAATAATGCATCGCTTCCACAAGAAATTTCAAAAAATGCTTTCGTATTTATTTTCATCTTACGATATCGAAAAGCCGAATAAATGCTAATACAAATAAACTATTTTATATCACACTTTTCTTTGTAAATAATATCACATATATATAAATGCATAATATTATTTTCAATTCAAAATAATAAGGTGTGTTCGATTGCACTCAGTATACTGCTACTGGCAGAAGAAACTTACTTATATTTAATTGCCGTAATTACTAACTTGATATCTTTCTTCTACATACATCGTACGTTTGTATTGAAACAATGAAGATAATTGTATCTATCTTTTAATCCTAAATAAAACTCGTTACTTTCCATTGCTCGCGTTACATAAATATAAATTTTGGTTACATGAATTCTGTTCAAATTAAACATATTAAGCTTAGATGTTGTTATTAAAGTAAGATAACGGTGCTTGTAATGGTTCAATCTGTTCTCTCGAGAAGGAGGATTGAATTTCTGTAATAATTATTAAATTACATTTCAATGTACGTCTACAAAAATCGGAAACCGGTAAGATGCATTCAGACCGGTAGAAGCATCGGTACTTGTATGTACCTGCATGCTTACCGTGCAGGCGTAGGAATACAAACCATCGTCTATGACATCATCGGCCCTGTTTATAACACATTCTGGATCGGGCACGCCCCATCTTCTATATATTCTTTGTTGATTTAATTTTTCTAATTTTTTTTTTATAATCATGGAAAATATAAATCAACATTTATCATTTCTATTAAAATAATCATAAAAAAAGAACATTTGTACAAATAAATAAAAAATATTAAATAGTTCTTGAAAGTATTAATTATTCATCTCTCTGTCTCTCTCTCTCTCTCTCTCTCTCTCTCTCTCTCTCTCTTTTATCTGTTATAATGCATTACTATCAATTGGAATCTTATACAATATCATACAGCATATTATTAATACATCGATTGGCATTTAATAGTTATTAATATATTGAAAAAAATAGAATATTAGCGGTCTTTTACTTGATAAAAAAAGAGCATTTTTATATCTATATAAATATATATACACATACATATTTAACTTACATATATTATCTGTAATAATTTCACTACAATATTTGTTCATCCTTTACGATCTTGACACGAATAATGCACGATATCGCCGTTGGGGTATCTTGCGAATGCACTATAAAAAAGAATAGATAATATCTTCTTAGATTCATGTACATTTCAAATCTAGAAAATACGAGATAATACAAACCTTTGATTACCGAATCGTTTTTTACATGCAGGGCATATATTAAATTCTGTCATAAGAACACTCTGTGACTCATAATGCATACGTTGTTCTTGTACTTGCAAATGTTCCGCATAAAGTAAGCCTTTTAAAACTTGGGTTTTACGTCTTGTGTTTAAATTATTTTGAAGACTAACTTCTAAAAAACGTTTTATTCTACCAATCGGTACTGTATCCGGTAGAATTTCTAAAACTTTCAATGGATTTATTTTTGAAGCATGTTCTTCGAGTAAGTGCAATGCCATTTCTGGATCCGGTTGTGCGCTACGTTGTACATTTGTATTACAACCTGTGAGATGATGAAACATTTTTAATCGTAACATAATCACAAATATATAATAACAAAGCAAAACATTATATTTTAATTATCATACATTAATTAATAAATTATGAAAAAATTACATACCGGCCATTAGAGCTCCTGCATTATCAGGTTTTAATAGTTGATTAATAAGCATTACATAAACTTCGTCTGCTCCATCAGATTTTTTTTGTTTATCCGCTTTCTCTTCATCTTTACAAAGTAATAATTATTATTTACAGCTAAATAAAAAGAATATTCTTTTAAATAAGAATCCATGTACTTACTTTGACATCTTTCATATACGTTATTGCTATATTCTATTGCACCTTGTACATTATTCAAAAGATTAATATATATTGATATAGCTTGTTGATGACGCCCAAGTCTTCCTAAAATAATTGCACGTTCTTCGAATAAACAGTCAAACGGGAAATGCACCAATATTGTTTCTGGTGTATAATATACGGATTTCTCCAAAAATTGTTGCAATTTCTGTCTTATGTGTTGGGATATCTCTTTTTCAGCGGGTGTTGCATTTTCATTCATAGAAATTAGGCTTTTTTCCTTATATTGATGTATTAAAACATTGTGAAATAATGGATTTGTATCTTCCCATATATGCACCACATGTTCTAAATATGTTATAACCAAATCTTTGTGACAACGTAGGAGATAATCCAATACCTTTGGTCTGGGCAATTGCTCGACTTCCTAAAAATAGACAAGAAGTATCAGTACAAAATGTACTCTATAAGTAATACACAGTAACGTACTTGTATATCTTCCATAAATATTCTGAGTCCTTGTTCAGGATCCTCTTCTAAGACCCAACCTGCGAATTTAAGAATTAAATCCATATGATCTTTGCCAAGATGCTGTAAATATTGGATAGTTCTTTCAGTTCCCTTCAAACTAGAATCGTTTTCTTTGGCATGCTTTTCTAATAGCTCTAAAGCCTTTCTATGTTGTCCTTTTGTTTGATATAATATAATAAGTTCTGGATATTTCTGATATATAAGTAAAGTCTTTTCAGCTTCTGCCAAATGACAGTGGTTTAATCTTAGTAAAGATGCTACCAGTGCATCGTTCGTCTGTAAAATCATAAGATTTTGTATAGGACTTAAAAAGAATTCTACAAAAATTATGTTTGCTTCTTACCTGTAAATAACATTTGAGTAGAGTAGTATCAATGATCTTTAACAATTGCTCAGTAGCTACGGCAGTCAGATTTTTTTCACTTTCCATTACATTTTTATCTTTATGATTATCCTTATCTTTTGTTTTTGTATCACTTAATAATTTGTGTCTAACGTCTGTTAGAAACATTATTAATGCGCATAAACCTTTTTCTAAATCATGGTTTGGAAGTTTTGGTAAGTTCGTTGCTGAATCGCTGAGCTCGTGATTATTACTCGATGGCGTTACTAAGTCAGGAAATAATCTTATCACTTCGTAAGGATCAGTTCTAAGTTCCAAAAATAAATTCATAGCTTCTTGAAATTTTTTTTCATAAAACAAATGATGCGCATATAGAGTTTGTATTTTGTATGTCTGTTTGGCCTTTTCCTCTTCTATTATATCTGATAAACTCTGAAAAAAAATATATATATTTACGTAATGTATTTATTTTTTAATTTAATTTAAAAAAAAAACATTTAGAATACAATGAATACAAGATTTGTACATACTGTTAATTTCAATGCTAATTGAAATTGATTTTGTTCGAGTAAATTTCTAATCTGTTGAGTTACATCAACAGCTCTCACACACCATACGCTACTCATAGATGCTACAAAGACTTTGCCTTGCCTACATCTACATATAAGTCTAGCTTTATTTAAATCTTTTATCGTCTGAATTTGTAAGCAACCTTCTAAAGTATATACTTCTAATCTGTCATGTACAATACCAAGTAAGTAAGGGTCATCCCAAGCTAAAAAGAAAAAATTGCAAAAAGTAAAATAATACTCTTTCCTTCTTGAACTCATTGTTCATATCAAATACAAATTTTTACCTATGGCGCTTGGAGTATCTGACCATTTAATAGGATTATGCTGCATTAGATCTCCTTTGGTATCCATGACAATAGAACATAAATCTTTTCCTAATACGAAAGAATCATCTGATAATTTAGTAACACTGGGCTCTGGCGATTTTCCGGTAGGAAACAGTTCCTTAGGTTTACCGGTTAATTCCAAAATAGTATAGGATAAACCACGAAATCCTAATATTAGAATTTCTCCACACCTGCATATAAAATATATTTAAATGATGTAAATAAGTATTCGGTATTCTTTTAGGGGACAATAAATAATAATACCATGATAATTCACGTGGTATGTCTGGTACTGTTAATTCAAAATTATCACACTCCTCAAATTTTTTGCCTTTCCAATGATACAGTTGCAGTTTACGTTTAACAACAACGCATAAACGTACAACAGTATTTTTTTCATCTGTAGAACTTTCTGTTTTCTTCACATCTAAAGCAAACAACGTTGCTCCCTTTGTTTTTTGCAACTGGCAGATTAATTGGAAATTCAACGAATTGAGATCATGAATAGAAACTATGCCATCTGTACGAAGAGATTTATTATTTTATAACATAATTAAAACGACTTAAAACCAATGGGGTATTACCTGAAAGTAAAATTAATAAATTATATTCCGCTACAACAGCTATTTGAGTGATACGCTTTTTAAAATTTTTACTATGGCGTAACAATTCTAACTTATGAGTTTCATCCAATTTAGAAGGAACATTGTACATAAAAATTTGTCCTTCTCTTGTACCAATCAATAAGTTGTCATCTGAAATATAAAATACTAAATATTCAGATCAAATTTAAACAATATATGTGCGGATATTTAAGCTGTATGAAAAATATATGAGAACAACAAATAAATTGTCATTGTATGTTATGAAAAGGTTAGTTTTTACATACCATATGCAAACATAGACTCTATTTGCACTGTTATATTTAATATAGGTGTCTTTTTATATGCTTCATGCATTTTAATTGTATAAAGATATAGAAAATGTTTATTCAAAAATTTCTTAGAATATATGTACTTTTATTGTGTCAGGGATAGTATGTCAACCAACTATCTCACATGCACATCATTATACACAATAACATTATGCCCAAATAAATTGCACATGTTGAATTAAACGATATATTTTCAATAAACAATCGTTTTAATTTAAATGCAGTAACAAAATTAAATAAGATTACGATTAAGTTCGAAAATTACTTGTACCACTGTAAAAAAGAAACCAATCAAGTTGCTCATTTTTTCATACTGAAGATAGGTACAGACGTATTGTTTGGAAAGAGTGATTTCGATTTAATCATGAATACATGCCTTTCAATGTTTGACATATTATAGTTTCTTTTGGTCAAGATAAAATATGTTACTAAAATCACGATCAATTCTTTAATTTGGCTAAACTGATGAAGTAAACAGTATCTGATATTTTGTAATATTACTGTTTTGTATAAAGACAATTATAACGCGAAAGAAGGAATAAAGTCAAATAAATATGTCAAAAGAAGAGTACGTTCATGGAAACGGAGAGGTAATTAATAATATAAATAAATAAATTAGTAATTTATATATTTTATAAATTTGTATATATCATAACCAACGTTCATAATATTTTATTATTTGCAAAGGTATTTTATGACTAATTTGTTAAATAATTACAGACTTTTAATTGCGAGGAGTCACCTGCAAAACAAAAATTAAGAGGATGGCTGAATCGACATTTGCGAATTAAAATGACTGATGGTAGAGTATTGACGGGTGCATTTCTTTGCACTGATCGCGACGCTAATGTAATTTTGGGATCATGTATAGAATTTCTATCCGAAGATCTCACAGAAGCAAGAGCACTTGGGTTGGTAATGGTACCTGGTCGACATATTGTGACAATCCATTTAGATGTTTAAATATTTCTTTTTAAGGATAAGTAATACAGTAAAATTATATTTAATTATTTCTATATCTTCCACCTTATATACGACTTATCTGCAATAAAAAAATATTTTAATAATTTTTGTTTTGATAGGAACATTCCTGAGGGGTTATAATTATTTATATTTTTCAATGTTTGTCAGCATTAATTATATATTCCTGCTGTACATAGTTAAATTCTTTTTCTAATTTTTGATTATTATATATTTCTTTGTCCATATTTTTAATTGCATCGTCTATCCTTTGACTAAGGCTAGAACATAAATTAGTCATTCCATACATATAACATATTTCTGTAGTTGAATCTGCCATTTTACGTACAGACTCCATAAAACTAACAAGTTGCTACAAAAGAAAACGATAACAATTGATTAGTACTATGTGCAAAGTAATTATTAAATAAATTTCAAGCTCTCTTTTACCATAAGCATATCTTTTTTATTTTGGATTTCTGCTCTAATTTGAACCATTGTGTCTTCATGCAAATCAACCATGTCACTATCTGAAGACTCTTTATAAAGGTTTATTAATTTTATTAATGATTTCCTGAAAGAAAACTTGCAAATATTACTAGTGTAATAATAATTTAACATTATATGATTTATGATTATATTCACCTGTACTCTTCACTGATAGTTTCTATCGCTAAAAATGTAATAGTTAAAAGTTCAGAAGCATTGTTAATTGATTTTAAAGTTGACTGTTTAACCAAATAACTATATGTCATAGTTTGTACATCTGGTAATTTTAATTTATTTTCTTCTGTAATTTCTGCATCATTCTGTGATGAGTCATTGATAAATAATGGACTCAAACACTAAATATATAAAAGTATTAATAATATTATAATATTAAATATTTAATCATTAGTCATTACAATTAAATTAGAAAATAAATAATCTATACCACAACGGGTGATGTTTTCCTGAATAATAATTTACAAATTGAACGTAATGCATTTTTTGTTGAATTCATATTCATTTTTTCTCGACTTATAAATAATTTTATTATGTTTGTGTATCAAAATCTTATGAGATTTAAGGTTATGTACATATATGTATAGGAAAACTACTGAAAACAATGAAGTTCGTTCTTTCAGTGATTTGAATACAAGCCTACCACCGTCTAGAAATTCTAAACAGTTTGTTCCCTGGAATTGATTTCAAAAAGTGCAGTAAAAATAGGAGGAGTATATTTAAAAGAATCGTTAAATCAGGTGTTAGATTTCTTTTCTTCATTATTTGTTGTTTCAAGTTAGTGAAATTTTTGGCTATTATTTTTAGTCCTTGTTGACATGTCATTTTAGGTTAGTTATCGCTTGTCAGAGTAAAGTTTTACGTCGAGTAAATAAGAATTAGCGAAAATGACGTCCTGCCTAGAAAATGTACAAATTCCAACGTGCGTGTGGTTTGAAGGAGTCGAAAAACGAAATGCATTAGTATCAATATTGGCTAGCACATTGGTAAAATTAATCATTTCTAATAATTACTAAGAAATATAATTTTTTTTAATTGTGCGTCATATATATTTTTAATCGTGTAATACTAATTCATTTAATATTGATTGTCTATTTATTATTATTCATGAAACATTGTTGCAGTTTTTTGTAGGGTGGTGGTTTATAATAGATGCTCATGCAAAATATCCTGCAGAGATGGTAACTGCTTACCACGTCTGTGGAGTATTTGGTACAATATCTCTATTTATGTAAGTTTCATTTAATTTGTTGAGACTGATGAAACAATAGATCTATTTTTATAAAGTAATACATGCTAACGATTATTGGCCAAACTTAAACTAGATTTTTTTTAAATAAATTATTTCTAATACAGGGTCAACTCAGTATCAAACGCTCAAATAAGAGGAGATGATTATAATGGTGGGCGCTTAGGAGTCAGAGGAGCCAGAAGTTGGTTATTCGTGGGCTTTGTTATAGGCTTTGCAGCAGTTATTGCAGCCTGTTGGATCTTGTTCGCAGACTTTGTAGCTCTAAGTAAGTAATGATAGAAAAAAAATTTATAATGGTATTTAAAATAATTATATTTTAGGTGCTCAGCATTACTGGCCCGGAATAGGATTATTTTTACAAAATGTATTTATATTCTTGGGATCTATGACGTTTAAATTTGGCCGAACTGAAGATCAGTATTAACGGAGATATTTTGATAAACCTATACAAAAGTTACACAAAGGATTACTTTTAATTATTAATATACTATGATTTTCAAAATGTGCTAGCACATTATAAATATTTCAACTTTACTTGAGTCAATGGAAATCTCAAATATTCAGCTGATCATACAAGTGCAAGAACAAAGTATTATTTGCTTTTTTATCTTGCATAAAGCTTACATATAGATGTGTATGGTAATAATACCATTAATAACCCATACATTGAAAATTGTAATCCAAAGATATTGTAAAAATGATTTAAATGTGGATGCGATGATCTTAATGCTTCAAATGATATTTAAGTGAATATAAAAATGTTATTACTCTCTATTTATAAATAATTACATTGAAGTACACACAGTAGTAATGCCCTTATATCTATGAAGTTGCTAATAATTACGTGTAAAGAAATATTCTGATAGATTTTTGTAATCGTTTTAATAATATAAGAAGTATATTATATATACTTGTGTGATACATAAGACATAATCACTTCCAGTGCTGTAAAAGGTATTTTTTATCCGTTATGTCCAGTTTTTTTTTAATTGTATATTAATATTTATTAACTTGTTTAAAATTCAATCCGAATATCTGCTTTTCCTAACGAAGATTTTATTTAATTTTAATTTTATTTTACATAAACAATAAATGTTTTCATAATGAATTAATAGTATGAAATAATACGCGGTATAATCTAACAATAATTTTGTTCAATCTTTTATGCTTTAGTTTATACCATGAACAATGAAATGATTTCTTTACTTAATAATATAGAATTTATTGACATACAGTGAATCAGTTCTATGAAGTTTATATGGGTTTGAAAGCTTACATACGAAAAGCTATAAGGTACGAATACTCATGTAACTCACTGTGTGTATATATATATATATATAAGTACAAATCATCTATTTCTTTTTCCTTATTTTCATCGACTTTAACATTTTGATATGCAGTAAATATTACAATAATTATAAAATTATATAAGAAGAGAGAAAAAAATGCTATAATTCATTCGCAATTGCTTATCAATTTATTTTTTATATTTTATTAACGTCATTTTTTGTCAATCCTAATCAATTTTGATTTGCCAACGCGGCCCAATAAAATATCACCTTTAAAGAATCCGCAACCAATGATATTATGCCACACAAACACATGTTTCATACAGATATCACGAAAGTCGCAAGTGCGTTCTGTTTTTTGATAGTTTAAAACGTTTGTTGTTAACTAGCTTTGTGATGTTAACAATATTTGTGCGTTCCTAATGATATAAAAATAAAATTTATTCTTTTTTATATAAAATTTTCTGAGAAGTGAAAGGTAAAGTAATAAGTTTTGACACGTAATATTTCTAGTTTGGATAACTGTTTAAGCCTGCCGGTAGTCATAACCAAATTTAATAGCAAAGTAATTTTCCTCGTGCTCGTATATATCGGTACCGTTGACAAGAATTATTTAATAATTGTTTCGTTTTTCTATTGCATAGAGAGAGAGATGGAAATCACATGTGTTAAAATGTCAGCGATAACGCTGTTTGTAGTCGTAATCGCTACTTTAATCGGTCAAAGTGAAGAAATAGCTGTAATGAGCATTGACATTGGTAGTGAATGGATGAAAGTTGCAATCGTTTCTGTACGTAAAATATATTTAATTGTTGTTAATTAAAGTTTCTGATAATTATTATACTTATAATATAATAAATAAATAAAATAAAACTTAAATTTAACAATTAAATTATCCAAAATGTTCTTTATTTTTGTAGCCAGGTGTACCTATGGAAATAGCTTTGAATAAGGAGTCAAAAAGAAAAACTCCAGCTACAATAGCATTTCGAGATGGAGAACGGACATTTGGCGAAGATGCGCAAGTTGTAGGACTTAGATTTCCACAAAGCACTTTCTCTTACATATTAGATCTTTTAGGAAAATCTATAGATAATCCAATGGTTAAACTTTATTCCAAGAGATTTCCTTATCATGATATTATAGCTGACGACGAACGTCAAACAATAGCATTTAAACTTTATGAAAATATTACCCATACACCAGAGGAATTACTCGCACAGATACTTCATAAAGGAAAAGAATTTGCAGAATTTTCAGCTGGACAAAAAGTTAATGAAGCGGTGATCACTGTGCCAGGATATTTCAATCAAGCTGAAAGAAGAGCCCTGTTGCAAGCAGCTGAACTTGCGAAAATCAAAGTATTGCAACTTATCAACGACTATACCGCAGTCGCATTGAATTACGGTATATTTCGTAGAAAAGAAATTAATGACTCTGTGCAGTATGTAATGTTTTATGATATGGGTGCCAGCAGTACGACGGCAACTGTAGTCAGTTATCAAAATGTTAAGACGAAGGAAAAAGGATTTGTCGAAACTAATCCTCATGTTAACATATTGGGTGTAGGATATGATCGTACCCTTGGAGGATTAGAAATGCAAATCAGACTGCAAAATTATTTGGCTAAAGAGTTTGATGCTTTAAATAAAACTCCTAATTCCGTATTCAATAGTCCAAGAGCTATGGCAAAACTCTTCAAAGAGGCTGGACGCGTTAAAAATGTGCTTAGCGCTAATGCTGATCATTATGCCCAAATCGAAGGTCTGATAGATGATTACGATTTTCGGTTACAAGTTACCAGAGAAACTTTCGAAAATATTTGCTCCGATCTATTTGAACGCGTGTCAAATCCTGTCAAAATTGCCCTAGAAACTTCAGGTAAATTTTCTAAATACATGAGAGGTTTGACTAACAAGTTATATTAAGAAAATTCATTGTACACAAAAACTGTATTATATATTATTTTAGCTTTAACAATGGATGTAATATCTCAAGTAATATTGGTCGGAGCTGGTACACGTATGCCAAAAATCCAAGAAAAATTGATGGAATATGTCAAAACAGACTTATCTAAAAACATGAATACAGATGAATCTGCTGCATTAGGTGCCGTTTATAAAGCGGCAGATCTCAGTCAAGGTTTTAAAGTCAAAAAGTTTATAACGAAAGATGCTGTTTTATTCCCTATTCAAATTGTATTTGATAGAAATGCAGATGGCAAAATAAAACAGGTAACAATTATGAAGTTCATCATTTCTATGCTCATCTGTGAATATTGAAATTTAATCATAATAATACACATACATTGTCTACAGGTTAGAAGAACTCTTTTTAATAAGATGAATGCTTATCCACAAAAAAAGATAATTACATTTAACAAGCATAATGAAGATTTCGAATTTCATGTAAATTATGCAGAACTAGATCATTTACCTGTTAATGAAATAGAGTAAGTACATATACATAATCCATACGGTATGTGTTTTTCTGAATTTATCGTCATTTAATATGCATATTATTAATGCAAAAATTTGTATTTATATGATTACAGTGCCATTGGAAATTTGAACTTATCAACTATAAAATTGACAGGTGTGGCTGAAGCTTTAGAAAAGCATTCTAAAGAAGGAGCCGAAAGTAAAGGGATAAAAGCTCATTTTAACTTGGATGACAGTGGTTTACTTAATTTAATAAATATAGAGTTGGTGTCAGAAAAAACGGGAAGCACCGCTGAGGAAGAAGAGGGTACATTTTCAATGCTTGGTTCAACTATTAGTAAACTATTTGCAGGTCTGTGTTAAAGACTTTGCAAAAAATGATGATAAAAACATTCAAGCTTAAGTTTCTCATATTTACTTACATACTACATTACAGGTTCAGATAATAAGGAAAAAGATGAAACTACAGAAGAACCACCAAAAGAAAATATTAAGCCGGTGCACGAAGAGTCTGAATATCCAGATTCTCAGAAAGAAACTGAAGATAAATCTCAGAGCAAAAATCAGACCAAGTTGAATGAAGGCAAAGCAGGAAACAAGACAGAGAAATCTGAAAAGGAAAAGAAACCTGTTATTGTAACGATTAAAGAACCTATTAAAGCCGAAGAAATTATATTAGGTTCAAAGACATTGGATGAAAAGAAATTTTCGGAATCGATTGAAAAGTAAGTATCATTCAAATCAAATATATTATTTGTATATATGTATCCAAAAATGTATTTTTATTTATTTTGACAGGATTCATCACCTTGATCAACATGATCGAGAAAAAACACGACGTGAAACAGCTTTAAATAATCTTGAAGCATTTGTGATTGATGCACAACAAAAATTAGAAACGGAGTTTTATATAGCTGCAGCAACTTCTGGGGAAGCGGAGAAAATATTAAAAGCTTGCGCAGAAATTTCTGAATGGTTATATGAAGATGGATTTGAAGCAACCGCAGAAATATATGAGGAAAAATTAATGCAATTACAAAAGTTGACAAGTGACGTATATGAAAGAGTTTTTGAACATAAAGAACGACCAGAAGTGCTGAAAGGATTGGTGTCTATGTTAAATGGAAGTTCTGTATTTTTGCGAAATATGCGTAACATAAGTCAAAATAATGACATGTTTACACAAGTAGAAATTGAAACATTGGAAAAAGTGATCAACGAAACAAAGGTATATATAATCGCAATAATATACTATTATAATATACTATGCGATTGATTATTTTACGAATTCATATGTAATTATTTTATTTATCTAGGAATATCATGATACAATCATTAAATCGTTTGCTGAAACACCATTATACGAACCGATAAAATATAAAGTTCGTGATATTGCAAATAAAATGGCACTACTTGATAGAGAAGTTAAATATCTTGTAAATAAGGCCAAAATTTGGAGACCAAAACCAGAAACAACGAATAATATGGAAAATAAAACTGATCAAGCAACAAATAAAACGCAATTACCGAATATAGAATCAACATCGGTTCCTGATCCTGATACTCAGTCAGAACAATCTAATCCGGAAAATATAGAGGCGGAAGATAAAAAATTGGAAAATATTTTAGAATCAAATACGACAGATGCAACGGAGGATACATTAAATTTGTCAAACAATGATAATTCGAAAACGAATAATGAACGAAATCAAGATGAAAAACATCAAGAACTTTAAAATATAATTTATTTTCAATGTGTGACGTTTCATTAATGATCGAGCACATATCGATCAGCAACTTAGGCGAATCACCACTGTGTAGGACAATTTTAAGAATGTATTTAACAAATCAAATACGAATATCTACTGCGGCATCTATATAAATTATTTCATATAATTCGAAAATATTTTCCATCATTTAATTATTTATATGAATTCATAAGAAATGATGATAATAATTCGTTATATTATTATGATGCGTAATCAAATGCAGCACTGTCAAGCACAAAAAGACATTACACTATTACCGAACATTTGTTGTCAAGTGCCAAGTCTAAGCTGGCTTTAGAGCTAATTCATGTATCATTTCCTCTTTGATCAATTTAATAATGATTAAATTATTAAATTAAATAATAATTCAATAATTATTAAATATTTAAAAGATTAAACGAATAGCTGCATGTTCAACAATTAATTGCATCTGTTTTGTAATTATAAAGCAAATATGATAAAACGATTTATAACAAAATGTTAAATAAAGTGTTCTAATGATGTGTGCGAGTGTGTGGGCCATCGTCTTATGCAGGTAACTAATTGGTTCTATCGCATATATACGAATAAACACACAAGTATTTGTGTGCGTATATATTTATATAGAGAAGGGCGAGGGGAGGTTCATGCTCCGAGGTATTAATTTGTGATACGAGATAACATGTATGCATTATTTTAGATATAATTTTGTACGTAACTTATCTTCTACAATAATACAATAGTATTTCAATGAATGATAGCACAAGAATGTTTTAAAAAAATGTTTAACTGAAGACAAAAAAAAGAAAAAAAAACTAGATTAAAAATTTATTATTGATCTTAGGAAGTTACATTACATTGTATGTTTTCAGAGAAATGAACATTTCAATATATTACTCCATAATTAGGATGTACTATTTGTTATACTCGTATAATGAATTCCTACAATTTTGAAACAACTTTGCTTATCAATAATTTAACTACAAATGAATATGACGTATAAACAGCTTATTAAAAGTTATTTAATATCTTATTATAAAAAAATGTTTACTATTTTAATGGATATGCATGTAGTTTCAAATACTGATGATTATATTTATTAATTTATGCAAATAAAATTGTGAAAATATATATATATATATATATAAATTATATATATATATATATAAAGTGGAATGAAACGACGAGAAATATATGATAAATTTTTCATGATTTTATTTTTTTCTATCTTTAACAATTAGTAATTATTTCTTGTATCGATTAAAATATTTTCGTAAAGTTGTACCATAGGCCTGGTAATGAAAAATCAATCGCGTTGAGCTACATACGGCAGTATAGTATATTATTTATAAATGATGAATCTCTCTACGCGCGAAAATTGATTTAATAGAAAAATTATTTTCAAATCTGTTTGACTTCACCACTGCAATTTGGACAACAACTAATATTAGACGACTCGCGTGGAATAAAAATTTGACCACCAATAGCAACGGCTGCACCCATTACCGCGCTACAAGCAGCATCTTGTCTTCCTGACATAAGTAGATTTGGACTCATTAATAGCTGTAAATTTAATAAGTTTTAATTCATTTTAACAAAATAGTGTTTTCATTTGTTTGTTCTTTGAGATTATCTTTAAAAAACTAACTTGTTCCGCATTTTTTTCCGCTAATGTTTGCATTTCTAAACCAGTTATATTGACATCTTTGTTCGTTATTGTATGCAACATGCCACTTAATAATTGAACTTTTAAGATTTCTGCTAATTGACAACAGCCTTGTGCCAAATCTATAACATTTGTACTCGGCAGTGCATGACGTTTGTACGATGCTGCTCGAACAGGATCAAAACTTTCTAAGAGAATGCTAACAATCCTAAAATAAAATATATTAGTACTGAGTAGATAGATATGGAATATTTGATAACAGATATCGTTTATATTTAAACAGATACCTGTATGTTTTAAGAGATGTATCACGTATACTTTTACGCTCTTCTAATAATCTTTTGATAGCTTCTTGAAGATCGGTCGTTCTTTGACAAAGGGCAGCTTTCCATTTTGCAAGTTCCTCTACCATCAAACTATTACAAATAATTTAGTCGTTAATATATCTTATCCAGAGATAATTCTTTTGGTGCCATTATTGTTGACCTATTGTTAATTACCTACTAGCTAAAAATTTACTCCTCCACACTTCGCATTGTCCTGCTAACCATTCTGTTTGTTCTTGATGAGTATTAAGATGTTGAGCAGAATTTAAAAGTGCTCGAGCAAGTTGTAGCTTATCTTCAGTAAGCAAGTGTACTTTAGTTTCCAGATCTTCGCCCACAGCTGCTACTAGCAGATTCTTTAATTCGCCATTTACCTACATAATATAATGTAACATATAGTTCAAATAATGAAAACTAATTATTGCTGTAAAATATCTTATTATTATACTTGTGCTTGGAATTTTAATTGGTTTTCTAATTGACTATTCTCTTCTTTGAGTTTTTTAATTTCACTTTCGTAGATTTTCTTTTCCTTATCCCAATTGGATTCTTCCTTTTGAACTTTTTCATTGATTCTATCTTTATCGACATTTGCATCATGAATTTTCAATTTAGCAACATCAGTAGCTGCTACATTAATATTTGTATCCCACTTGGAATGCTTCTTATTTTTTTTCTCAAACGGAACAATAGGATTAACTGCTGCTTTGTATGGTTCATACGGTACAAATTTGGGTTCCTTTGTTTTTAAGGAATTTAAAATTTGTCTTTTACCCTTTGGGGCTGTAATATTTTTTGGAGTAAGATTTACAATAGTACCAGTAGGAATAACTGGAGGTGTCAAAACAGAGGACTTTAAATTCTTGGGGTAATAAATAATAGTATCGTTTAGGCGACATTTGGTTTGTTTAGACTCATTTTCATTCGTTACTACATTTTCCATTCCATCTCCTTGCGTACGTCCAATACAATCCATTACCTGAACATCTTAAATTGTATAATTATTATTAAAACGTCAAATGTGCCAAGTAGATATACCTACAAAAAGATGTAACACCTAAAAAACACTTTCTAACCTTTTGATTTCAATTGACAGCTGTTTTTACGGTTTTCCCCGACMCCAGCCATATTTATCAATTCCACAAATTTATTAAATATTAAAACCTTCTTAATTAACCTAATTAATAATCATCTGTTAAACATTATACACACATCCTGTTCTTCATAGCATTATATTCGTTGAATATTCATACATTAAAAATAATATCGCAAACGAGCCGAGGATCGAGATATGCGATCTATCGAAATATCAATGATCGCATTCTAAATTTACGCGTGTACAAACAACTATGTTGTTTTATAAATATTTTTATAAAATAAAACGTTAAAAATAAATATTATATACAAAAAACACACGTATATAACTATAAATGCATAAATATGACAAAAATAAAGAAAACAAATGATAAACATGAAAAGTTAAAAAGAAAAAAACATTTTAGAAAGGTATGCCAGTTAGGATAATAGATATACTAACGTTGTGCATTATCTACTAACAAGTAAAGTATATCAATGTTAATTTAAGGTGAATAATACTTTAGAACGGCCTAATTATAAAAATGATATTAAACATCTGCAAAAAGATAAAAATGTTGTTGCCAAAGTAGATAACAAACCACCTAAATTTAACATAGATGTTTATTATAAGCCACGTCGTTTAGAAAACGACACCAGGAGGATCCTAGAATTGGATAAACAAAATATGGATTTGTTAAAATCTTTAAACATTATCACCAGACGCGGAGTAATTATCTTTCAATTTTTTTGAGAAATAATAATGAAGGTATATTAGATTCTAGTAAAAAAAAAAACACTTGTTGTAGGGTGTTGTTGATTGCTGGCTAAAAAATGTTAAATATAAAAGTAAATTTGAAAGCCAACATTTGGAGAATAAAAAAATTATGAAAGAAAATATTGCATTGCTTAAAAAAATAAATCGAATATCAAGTCAATATACTGCAGCAGATTTGATAAAAGATTGGAAATATTTAAAAGCAAAATTAGAAATTGGAAAAGGGAGGTACATTCAAAATACGTTTAATATTATGCATACTAATAAATAAAAATGTTTATATTGTTATGTTTGTAAAACAGGGGAGTAAAAAAATTTAAAGAAACTGTTATAGCTACAGGTATAAAGAAGGATTGTTGTATGCTCAGTGATCCTGCATTACTTCATACTTTAAATCCATCAATTAGAAATAGATGCTTTTTAGAAATCAAAGATCAACAAAGCGAACAAATTTTGGGAACCATTGTAATTGAACTTTATGCAGATATCGTACCTAAAACATGTGCTAATTTCGAAGCTTTTTGTTTGGGAGTAAATGGATTATCCTATAGGTGACCTAAATGTTGAAGTAGTTTATTTTTTTATCTACTTTATAATTGAGATATATTTGTATGTAGAAACACTCCATTTCATCGTATTGTTCCGGGTTATTGGTGCCAAGGTGGAGATGTAGTCAAATTTAATGGTGCTGGTGGTACGTCCATATATGGAGATAGTTTCAAGGATGAAAATTTCAATTTGCGTCATGCTGGTCCTGGTGTAGTTTCTATGTATAAAACTAATGATATGCAAGAAAATAATTCTAAATTTAATCTAACGTTTAAAACATTAAAAACAATGAATGGTAGACGAGTAGTATTTGGAAAAGTTGTGAAAAATCTTTCTGTGATCTATAAGGTGCTAAAATATAATTTCAAACTATGTATGTATATGTTCCAATAAATTATATTAACTTTTTATTAGATTGAAGAATGTGGAACAAAATCTGGAAAACCAATAAGATCTATCGTCATATCGAATTGTGGAATCCTTTCATCAAGAAGCAATTATTCATAAATAATAAAAACGATGTAGTGGTATGTCAATATTTATCTTTTAATAATTAGTATAACACAGTTCAATATATAACAAATTTTATATCTGTGGTTTCATAAGGCACCTTAATGCAAAGATTACAAATTTAAGATATGAGAAAATATTTAGAAAATATTATAAAAGCATCTTTTCTCTTTCCATTTGATATAAAATATTAAGCTGGTATCCTTTTGGGATTTGAGTCGTACATACGTCGCATACGCTTCTTTAGTTCTTGAGGAAATTTATCATAACATTTCTTGCATGCAGGCTTCAAATCAAACTCAAAGAATTTCGTTTTTTGATTCATCTTTTGATCACAAAACGCACATGCAAAGTGATGAACGCACCATGCCTTATTCAAGGCTGTAAAAACTGAAAATATATTACAGATATGATTGCAAATTTAAATATTTCTTTAAGTTTTAACTCAAATATCTAATTATTAACAAATATTATACTTACCATCGCCAGAAATTACTTGATTGCATACAAAGCAAAGATTTCCAAATAATTGATGATAATGCGTTTCGCAATAAGCAAGACCTTTTTTCTCATAATGACGATGTCCAAGGAATGGCTTCTCACATTTTGCACATACAAAATGTTCTACGTGCCAGTGTTTTCCTAAAGCAGTAACAACACGTTCTTCTATAGGTCGATGGCAAGCACCACAAATAGGAATACCCATTTTATCATGGCATCTCAAACAATACAATTCATTCTACAAATGAAAGTGTGTTAGTGTTAACATATAATATATAGACATTATATTGGATTAAACTATTGATTAGCTTACCATTTCATTAGCAGCATAACCTGGTCTGGAACGAACTTCTCTTGCATCTGAATTAAGTTCTATTCCACATGCAGTGCAATTAAAATGATATGGGTGATAAACTTCACCACGGAAACGTAATGGTTTATCATCAATAACCCCGCTGTTTAAAGAATGAACAGCATATTATATTCATTTCTAAAATGACAATTTAAAAAATAAATAAATGGAAGACGTACTGGCACTGATGGCAAATATGCTTTCCAAGAGCACCAGCTTTTACACGAGCATTACAGGTATGACAAAGAGCTCTGCCTTGGCACTTGATAAAACCTGCATCTGCTAATTCCCCGTTACATTCTTCGCATCGAAAACATGCTGGATGCCAATTTGCGTTCATTGCTTTTATTACTCTACCAATGACGAATTCTCCTAGAAAGATATATATTGTTATATCAGCTCTAAAGAAATTCTGAAATGTTCTGAAATAAAGCAAAAAAAGAAAAATTACCACATTTGCCGCAGCATGGTGCAAATAAAACATGGAAGTCATGTTCACAATACTTGTAGCCTTCAAATTCATAAAAGATTCCATCTGGAAATGGTCGAAAACATTGTGCGCATCTATAATGTAAGAATAGAAAAAAATCAGTATTGTTGTCATAACAAGGATGTTGTTAATCATACATCATTTTGATTATCTATCAAACTAACACGAAACATTGCGGATGCCATAATTCACCACGAGAATTAACTATCTTTTCGTGTGCCACAAAGCCCTCTCTGCATCGAGAGCAGAACATATGATCCAGCGACATTCCTGTAACACTACAAACAAATCTCACTTATTTACAATCACTATATTTTTAGGGTGGTAGATAAATTATTTACAAACTGAAACAAAAGTTGATCCAAAATTGTAAGGATGAAAATACCTGCTTGATTGAGAGGATGAGATGAACATTTAATGGTCACCAGTCTACAGAAATTTGTTCTAAGAAATGACAATAATGCTTACCCCGGCATATTTTAATGATGATAGTTAATTATAGTTCAGTGCAATTTATCAATCAGTTCTTTAGTTTCATGCACGCTTAATTAAAGACGATATCGCAGGACTTTGCAATAGTCGTTAAGGCAATTTTACTAAAAGCAACGTACTATGTAAGAATAATGACATCACCTGTCAGTCACCATATACACTGTCCGATTACATATATTTATCGAGGAGAGTATTTATAAAGCTTACATTTATGAAATTCAGTATATACCTATATAGCAAGGATGATGTTTACGTCATGCATCCACCTTCTCCATATCAATTTTTTTTTTTTACTTGGATATGAACCAATCAAATTGCAGAAATATGACTCTGCCCTTATTAGAGGAAGGGGCGTAATGCTACATAATCTAATATTCACTCCTTAAAAGCTTTTTCCATTTAATGCAGTGAAAAAATTATTCATTTCGTTACATTAAAACAGGTGTATTACATTTGATAAATGATCGATTAAATAGGTTTGAAATCTGTGCTCATAATTTCATTCTTACTTAAATTTCTCATTCGACGTAAGCGGTGCCATGTTAATATTTTTTTATGAAGAGTCTAACCAATCACCGTTTCTATTAACAACGGTGCCATCTGGTGCATCAAATTGATAAAAAACTTAAAATTAGTATAGAAAATTCTTATTAAGGATAATGGAGTTGTAATTTTTGAGAAAAATATTAAAATTGCAATTATTAATTTATTGATTAGAAGTGAATATAAATATATGTGTATTTAAAAGTTAATAATTTATTCAGCACAAAACACTAAATTTATTTGGAACAAATATTTCTAGTTAAAGTAGCTGCATCTACATTCTGATAAAAGTTTTAAGAATATAATTATAACTAATTGAAATGCTTTACGTTTTATTTCGAGGTTTAACAGAAGAGGAAACTTTTCAGATGTAGGTAATTTAATAATTTAGAATTACAATATTTCTTTTTGGACGTGAATATTTTAATATATATATAGGCGGCTTTGAAATAGCACTCGACACGCACAAACTTTTTAGAGGAATAATGATAATGATATTTTGTACAAATGGAGAGAAAAATACTAAAGCTTATGGTATTTTTGCTACATTACCACATCCCGGAAAAGATAAATGAATCATTTAGCTCTTTCTCTCTTGCGGTATATTTTTATTTCAATATATTATTTGACTTTTTATACATCATTTATTTAGCTTCGTTGGTCAACGATTGCATTTCCACAGGCATAGAATTCTTGTATTGTTTATATTTATTTGCAAGTAAATGAGATATTATACCAGATCCGAGAGCATCGGAAATAATATTTATAGTTGTCCTGAATCGATCCCTATAGAATATAGTATGGGAATCCAAATGTTAGTTCTTCAAATTATCAATGTAATCGAGATATACTTACACAAAACAATCAATAGCAATAATTAACGCAATATCATCTACTGGGACTCCAATAGAATTTAATACCATTATTAACATCATATAACCACCACTAGGCAATCCAGCTGCACCGATGCATGAAAAGGTGCACGTAATACTAACAATAAGATAAAATAACGATTTTTAAATATATTTTCTCGAGTTATAATTTGAATCTTTTCACTGACCTGACAACTATTATTTTAAATAAGGAAAAATGTAATCCTCGCATTTGGATGATAAATATTGCTCCAACAGTTTCATACAATGCTATTCCATCCATATTTATTGTAGCACCTATTGGCACAATAAATTTCAGTACTCCAGAATCTATTCCAACTTCTTCTAAGCATTTTATTGTTACAGGAACAGTTGCTGTACTAGATTTTATCGTATTATTTGTATTTAGTAAATACATATGTAATAGGATACAGAATACTATATACCTCGATGATGTTCCAAATGCTGTTGCAAAAGCAGGACCTAGTTTCATTATAATTTTATACGGAGATTTACGCGTGATTAGAAAATACAATGTTGGTAATATTAATAGCCCTTGCAATATTAAGCCGATAAAAACGGTTAATATATATGCACCCAATTGTTTAAATATTAAACTAAAATCTTTCATCTCTAAAATTCTACCAGAGATTAGAAAGAATGCGCCAATTGGTGCCATCCTACATACAAAATATTTTGCATTAAATATTAATAATGCTTGATGCAAGAATTAATATAAGTAGAACAAATTCATTTTGTACATAATTATCCCATGCATAATATTCATCATCGCTTGAGAAAAAGTATCTACAATTTTTAACAGGGGTCTGTTTTCTTCGCCCAATTTATCAGCTGCTATACCTAGTAGTAAACTAAAAAATACCAAACCAATTACGTTCGTGCCTGGTATATCTTGATAATTTATAGTCCATTCGTCTATCGGTACTGTAATATAAAGAATTTTGTAATATTTGTAAAGTTATAAATATCAAATTATATTATTATTAGAAAAAAAGCTATATATATATATACATAAAAAATATACCTTCAGTTGTATTTTGTGGTTCTTCCAAAACTGTTTGATACTGTTTAAAACACGCTTTAATTAAATCGTCCGATAATAAATTACTGAAACATAATTTTATAATGAAGAGACGCATACGATATAATCTTACAATTAATTTTTATAACGTAACAATAAATACCGAATTAAGTCTAAAAGTGTATCAATTGTCATAAAAGATTTAGTTGTTAAATTCGATGTAAGGTTTCCATTGTTAAGTAATTCTCCTGGTCTTATATTTTGTGTCAATACAACACTTAGAATAATTCCTATTGACGTTGTCATAGAGTAATAACAGAGTGCCATTAGTCCAATAGGTCCTATAAACTTCTTACATGTAACGGACCGAGTTTATGTATTCAACTAAATTATATATTTTCTTCTCCTAATATTTACCTGACTTGCTTAAATTGCAGGCTGCACTTATAACAGTAGACACTACCAAAGGTAGTATTATACTATTCGTTATGTTCATAAATATTTCGCCAGGAAATTTGATATACATTATATTTCTTCCGGACCATGGTTGGGGAGTTAAATATTTTAAAACTAATCCAAATATAATACCACTGCTTACACCAAGAGAAGTAGCAATTATTATTTTATGCTTCATAACGTGTAATAAGTTTCACTTAAAAGGGAAGTTAACTCTATTACTTGATAAGATACGACGGGTTAACGTCGCTTAGCGAACATGAATGTTTCTGCAATGATATGTATATCCAAAGAGAAAACGTGAGATGAATTTTCAAGTGTGTACAGAAGATAACTTTTATCTGATAGAAAGATCTATATATCGCAGCATCTTTTGTAAGATTGAAACTAATCAAGGTTTGTCGTTTAAATTTATGGATAACGATTTACAAATTAATACAATTAGAAGTTTATTTTTTATTTATTTTGCGCACCTAATACAGTATAAATACAATAAATATGATCGTGCACAATACATAAAGGATGTGTATTTACACATGCTTTTAATTTCCAGGCCATATTTTACGTATTTTTAATTGTGTAACATATCATCCTTTTCTATATTTCAATATTATTTATACATATCTTTACAATTCTGCATTGTTTTTATATTATCCATTAAAACATCACATATGCGTTTTATTCGCATCCAGTCTTCTGAAGAAAATCTCAATATCTAACCATCCTTTAAAATTACGATTCTAAAGATTTATAAGATTTCAATAATAGATGTATGTATATATATATATATATTTATAATTATAACTATATAACTGATGTGTAATTATCAGTGAGATCAGTAAAGAAATTTATTAACGTTACATTTATATATACAAAATCATGATAAGTTTACATACCTAGGACTACATACTTCACTATGCAGTTTTATATTTGGTTTTGTGTACTATGCAACGTTTTACGCTTTGTATTAAATTAAACATTTCTCGACTTTCCTTCACTTTTTTATTTGAGGTAATTTGATTTTGCTCAAATAAAAGGAGAAAAATTTATGTATTGACTTTCTCTTCTTGGTAATAAGAATGCGCCACCCATAGTAACGATTTGTAGAGTTCCTCTGAGGTGTAGTCTTTTGTGCAACCTATTCGAAAAACGTTTGCATTGTTAAATTTTCAAGATAGAAAGTACCTCATTGATATTTTCTTTTCTTTTATAATTAGTGTATCGTGTCATTTAATTCTGATACCACTTCCATTGAATGTTTATGAAGTGTTATGACTGGAGTGCAATATAAAGACTAATAAATACCTTTCCCTACAAAGGAGTTTCTTTACGAGCTTCTGCCTTCCATTGAAATCCGTTTACACGCGTAGTGATCGGTTTATTTCTATTCGTTGCATTTTCAATTCCATTTCTAACGCCTGCTACTAATCTCATGGCTGGATTGGAAACTAAACCGTTGCGCTTTGGCTTTATATTACTTATACTAGGAAGAAATGATATCAATGTAGAAGATATATATATATTTGGCGAGATCGAATAGAATGAATAGCAAGTGTTGGCTTACCTTCCAGGTGTATGTTCAGTCGTATGTTTAACGTTCCTACCGACGCCGGCTCCACTGTTTCCGAGTATAATTCTCATGTGAGTATCTCGAGTAAAATGTGTATCAGCACAAGTTTTTTTTTCCTCGATACTATTTTTCTTATCCTTTCCGCCGATATTTAAACCTAACATTTCGTTCGTTAACTCGAACGGTTTAGTTACGTCATTTTTATCGATAATTTCTGTTTTTATATTGATAGGCTCATAAATTGCAGGCGTATGATGATTGCATGCACCAATTTGAGATTTGTACGGTAGGTTTTGATTTGCTGTTAATAACGATACACCGAGTTGACTCTGTATTACGTTAGCCGCTATTTGTGCACTAGGTGGACTCGTGTTTGTGGGGGAGTAAGGTATAAGACTGTCGCTTAAGGGTGAGTGAGGTGGTGACGCATAAATCGGACTTTGTGGTTCACTTTTTAAGGGTGACAATAATTTGCTCAGTGGTCGACTCTTTGCTCCTCTTGAACATTGCTGAAGTTGCTGGGTGAAAGATAGTGGCGTCTAAAATTATAAACATAGGATCACATTTTTTTCGTGTATTCGTTTGTATTTTTATCATTTTGTTGGAAGTGGTATCAATATTGTGTTCTCCGTGTCCACCGATTGATACTTTTATTTATTCATTATTTACCTTAATCACTTGATTAGCCATAGAGTTTTGATTGAATTTTCCTTGATCGCTCTTAGTGCTTCCAGTCAAATTGCTGCTCGACTTGCTGTTGCTCGAATTATTGCCCAAAGAAACGCAGCTTCTTCTTTTGGTAGAATCTGGCGATTCCGCGGGGCTATATTGCGTTGAGAGAGGATTTAATATTGCCGAGGAAGGTTTCGTTTCGGCGGTCGAATTAGACGTTATGGAAGTAGCGCTGCTACTACCACCACCACCTAAAATGAAAAGTATTTTTATTTTGACAAAGTTACAAAGGTGCAAGAGATTATTCGTCCCAACAAACCTCCATTGATCGTAGGTTTCAAGCTTCGTTGGTTTGCAGCGTGTTCTTCGAGTAATCTTACTACCGTGTCATGACCGCTTTTAACTGCAACTTTGATCGCATTTCTACCACAGTGGTCCGAATGACTTGGGTCAGCACCATGATTCAAAAGAGCTCGAACGCAATGTTCGTGTCCTTCTTGTGCGGCAATACCTATGCGAGTGCATAAGAGTAATCGATGTTATTGTTTTCAAACGTTAAGCTATACACATCAAAAATAGATTGGACGTTCGGCGCACCTAAAGCCGTTGCACCTTGATTGCAAGTATGATCGGGCGTCGCCCCATGTTCCAATAGTAGTCTGACTATCGCAGCATGTCCCTGCCAAGCTGCAGAGTGAAGAGGCGTTCTATTTTCATTGTCACACGCGTTTACGCTTGCATTTCCTTTCGTCAACAATAATGCAACCATCTCTACGTGTCCTTGCCAGGCGCTTACATGCAAAGATGTTCTGCCCTATACGTTACGATATTTTTCACGTTGTTAATTTATCCTTGAGACGAAGATCCTTTATGGTTTAAAGAAACTTACTTCGGAATCTCTACCTTCGACATCAGCGGGTGCGTGTTCTAACAGAAATCGCGCCATCGCTAATCTATTTTCCAAGGCAAGAATGTACAAAGTACTCCTGCCATCGGCATCTTTGACGTTTACATCCGCTTTGTAGCCTAACAGTATTCTAACGGTGTCGTAATGTCCCTCTAGAGCCGCGAGTCTAAAAATAAAGACAAATATGGTGATTAAGATTTATCTAATTATATAATAGTATAACAAGAAACATACCTTAATGCAGTTTTTCCATCGTGAGCGTGTTGATCGATAGGTGCACCATGCTGCACCAAGAGTCTCTCCACCAAGGAAGCGTGTCCTTCTTGCGCGGCAAGCATTAGAGCACCTTTTCCATCGTTATCGGTTTCGTCGATCTTTGCTCCAGCCTCGAGCAATGCTTCGCAAACGTCTATGTGACCTTCGAAAGCTGCATAATGCAACGGTGTCCACCCAGAATTGTCTCTGTGTTGTTCGTCAAGGCCTTCGAAAGAATTTCCGATTGCTCGAGGTCAGGAAGATGTATAATCGATACGGTAATAAGAATCGAGATGGAAATAACAAAGACCTACCTCTGTCGAGTAATTGTTTGACAACATCCGTATCGCCTTGCGCGGCAGCAACGCTCAGTACAGTTCTACCTTCGTTGTCTATACTATCTACATAACATCCCCAGAATAATAACAGAGCAACAACAGATCCGTGACCCATGCTGGCTGCAGCCCAAAGAGGCGTTCTTCCCGTTGCATCGCAATGATCCACGTCTGCTTCGTATTCCAAGAGCAATTCGCACACGTCTCTGTGACCTTCGAAGGCAGCCACCAATAGCGGTGTCATGCCATCCTTGTCTTGATGATCTACCGCGGCTCCTCTTTCTAAAAGTATCGTAACGACCTGTGCCCGAGAGAGAGAGAGAGAGAGAGAGAGAGAGAGAGAGAGATAGAGAGTGCAACGTTCGAAGCAAGTCGTCTTCCAATTATTTCATATTAAACGAGAAAAGCTATCAACCTTGGCATAACCGTGGTTAGATGGAACGCATAAGGCCGCAACGCTCAGTGCCGTTCTACCATCGCTGTCCGCGTGATCGATTTTTGCCCTAAAGTCGAGAAGATGTTCCACTATCTCGCTATGACCCATGTAAGCTGCAGCGATCAAGGCGGTTCTACCTTCGTCGTCCGTTCTATTGACATCGGCACCATGCTGTAGCAAAGCTTTCACGATATCTTCGTGGCCGCCCCAGGCGGCAGCTCTCAGTGCTGTCCTTTGATCCCAGTCGGCGCAATCGACCATCGCACCATACTCCAAAAGCTGTTCTACCACCTTTGCGAAAATATGTCCTTATCGCTTGGTTCTATGCAAAGAGATCGTTCCGCGAGTATGTGTATGTACCTGAGTGTGTCCACCCCATGCGGCGGCTCTCAATGCAGTCCAACCATCGCAATCCGCATGGTCCGAGTTCGCGCCTGCAGCTAAAAGAACTCGTACAACGTCCGCGTAACCGTGTCTGGCAGCTAAATTCAATGGCGTCTGTCCGTGACGGTCCCTGCCTTCCAATTTTGCCTGGAATTCAAATATCGAGTAGCAAGACGTAGAAACGTAGGATCGAATGGTATAAAAGATAGATAGATAGATAGATAGATAGTTAGAGAGAGAGAGAGAGAGAGAGAGAGAGAGAGAGAGATAAAAGACTTACATGCGGGCAAGCTGCAAGAGCGAGTTCTAACAAGGACGCGTTGCCATCCGCAGCAAGCGTGTGCAATACGGTTCTACCGCAAGAGTCCGTTTGATTGATGTCACCGCTCTCGCCGAGTAACTCGGTTAATGGTTCACTCGGGGATTCGTCCATGGGGCTCGCGTCCTGCGAGACCTACGTAGCGAGATTTGATTTTCAACATTATTACGTTAAAGGAGAAGATTTGTACTTGTCGTCTATTCAAGGGGATCTCGTGTTGCTACCTGACTAGAAGAAACGGCGTCCTTACTGGCATCGTCCTCGACGATCTTTTCCGATAATTTGGCGCCCGCATCTATAAGAAGCCTCAAAAGTTTAACTTCTTGTCGTGGCCACAATATGCATTCGGAACTATCCAAGTAACATTCTTCGACGGGGGCAGCGGTACCTATCATCCAAAGCACTTGAAGGGTGTGAGCGTCTAGGGTACAATTG